ACACACACACACACACACACACACACACACACACACACTTATCTGAGTGACCCAAGTTTTCCAGTGAAATCAAGAGTGACACAACACCTGAAGTGAAACATGATTCTGTCCTGTGGGTTTTGGAATAAATTCAATCACATGTTACATGACCACAGAATGAAAAACCACCTAAAAAACAAAATAACAACAAATTTGATTTATTGCATTGAAGTAAAGTCGATATGTTACGTTTCCATAAAAAGTGCTGGAGGTAAAAGAAGAATACAGAAAGCAGTGGGACTCAGTAGCTTTTGAGTAAATCCTTTAAGTAAGTTTAAGATGATGGTATGAGAACAGAAAGTGAGACTAATCCTTCAGCTCTGTGTGTAATCTGGAAGCAAACACACTGTGTGTATCACTCACATGCACTAATGTAGGTTACTGCCACTGTTTGACATTATTAAAGTTTTCATTATTACACCTGTCGGCCACAGCTGGTTCCAGAAACATTCATCTCCATGCAGGACGCTCGTAAACGTTGGTGCTTTCAAAGGTTAGCTTTGGAGAAATTAAAGACACGCGTCTGAAATCTGACGGAGTGCGACGTTTTTCCACCGATGCATCAGGTTTGTGCAAATGATCATCGAAGGGGGAAAATATTGTTGCTTACTTTTCATTGTTTACGACTTAATTCAGTTCAAATCACATTCAGTTTGTTGACTGTTACATTCCGTCTGTATCTTCAAGTCCTCAAACAGGTAATCTAGTGAAGGCACTTTGTCTTATCACGTGATTACGAGGCAGGGGTATACACTTTTTGTCTGGAAACACAACAGCCCCATCGTGGGTCAATTTATTCACTCAGGAGGTGGCTCTATTCTAATCTTATAAATACAGTCCCGGGACGTCTTCATGTTGTTTGTCTGTGGGCGAGATGCTGCAGCTAGGCCACCTTGGTGAGCTGAAGATCCCCAAAGACTCGCAAGGCGGTGAGGGAGGCGAGCGGGGACAGCCGGTGGGTGAAGCCGCACAGAGGCTGTCCATCCACCAGGATCCGAAACTGCTGGTGCTCACAAACGATCTCCATCTAAAAGTCAGAGGGAACGTACAGGAAGTTATGGTTGTCACCCCCGACCATTTGTTTGTGTGTTGGTTTGTATTTTGTTGGCTTGAAACCAAGATTACACAGCAACAACTCAGCGGTTTTCTGTGAAACCTGGTAGGAAACCCTTAAAGCTGCTAAAGAAGAAAGTCAACAAGTGACGTCCCATTCATACTTTATAAGAGGTCATGGGCTTGTCATCTGTGCTTTTGGACTTTGGGGATTACAAAAACATATTTGCACGATTTAAAGGAACCCTGTGAAGTTTTTAGGCCACTGTTAGCACTACAGAGACGTGTTTATATGACTGAATCCCTGTTTTGTTTTCACGTCATCCACTAAATCTGCTCTGCAAATGTTTTTGAGCCAGCAAATAGATGAGGTCACAGAGACCTGCTGCTAAAACTAGAAGGTGACTGACCTCTGCCAAGGCCCAACTGTCCCCTTCTGAGACCAAGATTCAACATTGATAGGTGTTGTGGAATATTTATATTTAATTTATGCTAAAATAATCCACTTAAATTTGTTTTTTTAAACATTTACAAACTATTTCTCTTGGCTGACCCTCATATATTTTTATTTTTACTGTTGCTTATACATTTGACATTAGTCCACTTCACAGCAATGTTGTAAAACACTGGGTTGACACTATTCATGTGTTGGGTCTGACTGCTAAGAAGATGGAGTTCTGCCTGTTCCACATCAGGGACCTTTAAAATTGATATATGTTTTAAAGAAAAAGTTACAGCTCTGTCATAGAACCATATTGGAGAATCAGTACGAGTATCCTCTTTTAAGAAACAACGACATAGTTTATTAGTGGAGTAAGTAAATATGTAAAGTTGACTAAAGTGCAGAATTAAAGGCATTAAACTCAGACAGTGTTAATGGTAACTGTCTCACACATTACAAAAGACTGCACTGATAACCACTAACAGGAAAACCAGGAAGCATTTTAACATTTGTCCAGGATAGATGTTGACAAAAGGAGTTTAAGTCTCTTTCTCTGCTCCAATCACTTCCTCTCTAAAAGATATAGTTACCTTGAAGGGTTCTCCAGGTGCAAAAGGAAAGTAAGAGAGGGTGTTCTCAGACGGGCCCCACTTCCCGGCCAGACGGGCGTTGCGTTGGACGGCCTTGTCCATGAAGCTGACGTTCAGCTGCAGACCCACGTCTGCCTCTGTGTCCTCCTCCTGAGGTTTACTGGACAGAGTCACCTCGATTCTGAGGAGACGCACAGAGTTTAGAGACACAGAGAAAATATCACAAAGTAAAACAAAAAAGAAAGAAAAAAAAAAAGACATGTATGTTCATCTTTCTTT